GACTTCTTTATCAAGAACCGGACAGTATATAGTGAGGGCAACAAACCATGCTGTGGAGGGAACATACACATACTTCGCCATGTTGAACTCAGCCGCAATAGGAAGAGCTTCAGTGCCAAAATGGTCCACGATAAGGGCGTCGGGGCGGTGGTTCAAGGCGGAGATGGTGGATCTGACTCCCGGCAACGCCTCGCGTAGCATCATGCACAGTTGTTCCACTACTTTAGTGTCAGGCTTTATAAGGTGTGAAATTTCAACAGGCGGCAGTTCAATTCTTTCAACAAGGTTTTTCTCGGTGGGAAGTTTGAGCAAATGGGATTCCGACGGAGAAAAAGCAGTTGTGACTTCAAGAACTGTGACTTTAACGCCGTGTTGGGTGGCTAGGCGGTTGGCCAGAAGCAGGACAGGGATGAGGTGTCCCATGCCAGGGCTTGCGAGAATAGCTACGTGGAGTTTTGAGCCGTCCATGAATTCACGCACAGGCAAATAGAAATAGAGAAAATGGTGAGGCGTGGGCGTGGGCGTGGGCGTGGGTTCAAGGGAGACGGTAGACCGTAGAGAAGAATAAAGCAGGCGTAAAATTACAACCATGTTATTTGTATAGAAAATAATTGAGAGAGATGGATAATTGAACACTCACGATAAGGCTCACTTATTTTTTCTGAAATTTTTTAATAGCGTCGAGCTGCACGCGTGTGAGAAGTCGTCAAACTCCTCAGTCGTCCATTCAAATGAAATTGTTTGTAAAATTAATAATGTTAGTTGGGAGTTTGCTTGGCTGCCTGACACCGTCCCCGTCAACCCCTCACACAAAGGGGACAATTTTTTTTGTCTTTTTCAATTTATTCGAGTCTCGCGTGGGTGCCATTCTCAAATTTAATTCTCTTAATGACCTTCCACGGAGCAGTAGGTTGTCGAATCAAACAAGAGCAATAAATAATTCAAAATGAGCAATGCCAGGTGCGAGTTGATTACCTGTTTTAAGCTCTGTTTGAATAATTTTTTAAAAATTAAAATAAAGATTTTTTGAAGTCATTTTTTTACTCTTCCTTGAATGGATAAGATATACTATGTTCGATCTATTTATTTATTTTCATTTTTTGTGTTGTCAAATATTTGAACAATGAAAATAATTGACGAGTGCTCGGTGGTTGGAAACTATGAATTTTTTTTGAATTAATATATAAAATATTTTATTGTAAGAACATATAATTGAAAATAAGTTTGAAAAAAAAAAGAATTTTGTTTTAATGGTTATTAAAGGCCAAATAAAATTTATATTTTAATCTCTAATAACTTAAATATCATTTAACTCTACCCCCCCCCCCCCAACACTGTACCCCCTACCCCTATGACTTTAACTATCATCTCAATAGGTTTTTAACACAGATCTAGTGGTACTAAAACATACATCTACGTCACATAACTGACATAGTCAAAGTCAAGTCATTTAGAGCAAAACCACGCCGGGTCGAAATCTTTCTTTATCATCCTCCAAAGTTGTGTATGTTTGTGCTCCTGTCAAATCCGTCGATGCTATGATATGAATAATTTAGGGTAATTCATACATAGTGTCTTTTATTTTACATTGTTATTTTGAAAAACGTCATCACTTTTCATTTTTTTTTAAATTTTTACCCTTATATTCACATTTTATTGTGCAAAGTATCATTTCATCCATTTTTTAAATTAAAAATTGTAAGATAACGTATGCACACTTCTCTTTAAATAAAACAACATGAAAAAGAAAAAAAGTAATAATTGCAATTATAGTTCCAATTTTATTTTATTTTTTAAAAATGCAAATGAGTCTCAAATAAATTATTAAAAAGGTAATTAGCACTTGGGTGAATATGGTTTGATTTGAACGGTTCGTGTTATATTTTCAACTCAAACAATTTCATGCGGTTTGAAATTTTTCCAAACCAAACCCTTTTATTTTTCAAACCTAAACCAAACCAAACTATTATTTGCGGTTTGGTTCGATTTTAATCCGTGATTTACCTATGTCAGTATAGTTACATGTTTAAAACAAGTTAACATATACATTTAAATAAGAACTAATAATGTTAAATCACATTCATATTTCTCTAAAATTTGATATATAAACAAAAAGACAAAAAAATGTATCAAGTTAGCATGTAGCAACAAGTACTCCAGATTTAACAAACAATAATATCAGAATAAGCACAAGAGTACTAAACCTCATTTGATAAAAATTGTATCAATATCCCCTGTTGTAACACATAGTTTGGCCTCTGTATGATATGCAAATATCAAAATATTTATTAGTCTTTATTAATGATATTAACAAGTAACTAAGAGACAACGATCCCACACCTCGGATCCCTTTTTGCATTTTCCATCCATTTTCATACCTTCAGGGTCATCCTCTAATGGAATCGCATCATCGGCTTCTTCTTAATTTGGATCCATATCTGAAAATGGAAAAAGAAACAACGGAGGAAGTTAAGCTATGAAAAAAAACAAATTATGAAAAATTGTTTCGATACACAAGAAAAAGGAAGAGAATCTCACAGTCAGCAGCGGTAGGCAGTGGTGGAGAAACGGTGTCGAGGCAGTAGGTCACAAGTGTTAAGTTGGCATTGCGTGGCGTGTGTCGACATTGTAGGATATAGGGAAGGAGCTAGGGCTTGATAACTTTGCTTTACTTGTGTTTTTGCATAGGCGTAATTGCATATATGGTTGGGCAACATTCACAATTTCACGTTTTTATGTTAATTAAATTTGTACCCTCCAAAAAAGTATACTTTAAATTCTAAAAGCAATACTTTAATAAAATTTATATATGAGAATTTATAAGTTAATAAAAATATTTTTTTAATTAAAAAAAGTACGGTTCAATTTGGTTTTTTGCGGTTTTTAAAATTTGAAACCAAAACAAAATCATTTTGAAACGGTTTGGTTCGATTTGAGAGCAAAAAAATTGCGGGTCCACGTGGACCCAAACCAAAGACTTTGATTCGGTTTGATGTTTCGCGATTTTTTTGTGCAGCCCTAATTAGTATATAATTTTCCTACATTTCACTATTATTGCAAAAAAGGTCCATACCTTTTTTTTTTTGACATTTTCACATTTATTTACATATTTAATTGTGCAAACTATCATTTCTATTCATATTCATCTAATTTCTCAATAAAAAACTGTGAAATGACTAATATAACCTCATATTTAAATTTTAAAAAATTAAAGAATTTATTGCAACCATAGTCCAAATCTTTTTAAAAAGTACAAACGAATTCCCAATAAATTATTTAAAAAATTTATGTTTTTAAAAAAAGTGCAAACGAGTCTCAATTAAATTTATTTAAGAATTAAAAAAATAAAAACTGTAAACAAGTCCCAAATAAATTATTAAAGAATTAGAAATAAAAAAATTATTTTTTATTTAAATAGGAGGATATATTCATTATTTCACAGTTCTTTATTGAAAAATGGGATGTAAATGATTGTTTGCTACTTTGCACAATCAAAAGTGTAGTGAAAATACCTAAAAAAAGAAGAAGGTATGGACGTTTTTCTCAATAACGGCGAAAAATAGGGACATTATGTATTAATTACTCTTTTAATAATTTATTTGAGACCCATTTGCACTTTTAGAAAAAAATTGAGAGTATAATTGCAATTAATTTTTTCTTTTTGTTTTGTTTAAAGAGATAAACATATTTGTCATTGCACAATTTTTAATTGAGAAAATAGATGAAGATGACATTTTGCACAATAAAAGGTGAAAATACCAAAAAATAAAAGGTATTAACGTTTTCCACAATAACAATAAAAAATGGTGATGTTATGTGCTAATTACCCAATAATCTACTAAAAACTAACACGAAACGTGTCAACTCCTGAACTTATTTCTTTCCCGATATAGTCCCTATATTTTTTTGATCATTATATTCCATCCCCCTTAAAATAGCCTTGTCCTCGAGGATGGTAATTTGAAAATACAATTTGCAACTAATTGACGATCTACCAAATCGATTCCTCTTATTGAAAAGATCTCGTGGTCAAAATATGAACAGTTTGCTTTTGTTTCTATTTAAATTGACATTTGAATCTTTTATATCACGCTGGTCGGCAATTGTCATGAATGAAAACCGTGTATCGTCCCGGAAAACTCTTTTTAATGATAATTTCTTGATTGACTTGTTACACTTGATGGTGTGTTCAGATTATTCCCTTCCTCAATTGTCTCAAATTGCTCAAATTTGAGTTTCATGAGTCATGACTGCTATTAAAAATTTATGGGTACTAAACATTAACCCAGTCTCTCCTCTACTCTTGTTCTCGTGCCCACAGTAAAAGTCTAATCTTGTTCGGGAGAGAATTGTAAGTAAAGTTCTTGTGTCATGTCAGCAAGTAGACAGTCTTATCTCGCACACTGTGGATAGGAGAATAATTTCGATCACTCCTATATTGAGAGACTTTACATTTATTCTCCAAAATACTCAAATCGATAATTAAAAAGTTGGGAAACGAACACCATAATTATTGACTATCATAATAATAACTAATTTATATGTACTAATCTCATAAATACTAACACATACATGCCACCAAACTATACCCGTCATAGAGTATGCATTTACACTTGGCCCCCGTTTGACCCCCATTTTTCTATTACATTACATTAATTTTTCCCGACAGACACAAGTTTCAAAATGAGTACACCAATTAGTTCCGTCTGTAATTATAAGCACCGGATACGAATCTTCTCTCCTCAAGAAGTCTCAAGTTCCGACATAGATAGGCGCCAAATTTTCTCTCTTGAACGACAAAATTTCCGAAAAGAACGTCTACTATGAATCAAGCCGAATTAAACAAAGAAATTGGGGCGTGCCCGTGACATACTGTCATACATTGTAATTCACATGTACACTAGTGAACAATCACCATCCATGCATGGACCATGTTTTTCCCTATTAACACATTTATTACACAACGGGACAGCCTAATTGGCAGTAAGTTAACGGTGTTCTTAGACTTTAAGTTTAGCAGCAACATGTTTGAGCATCTCTGACAATGAATGGTGCGATGAGCCTCCTTCGCATAGAGCATTTTCAGCTCTGATTTTCAGTTTTTTAACATTTTCTCTCATTTTCTTGCCTTCTTCGTCATCCATCAAGGACCTCACCATTTTCTCTATTTCGTCTCGCGCTACCACATTTTTGGTGGGCAACACCAGAGGTCGGACAGAGATCCCAAGCTCCTCCACAAGATATGTGGCGTTGAGTCTTTGCTCTGCATAGAGCGGCCATGCAATCATTGGTACCCCACTGCAAATGCTCTCTAGAGTCGAGTTCCATCCACAGTGTGTCATAAATCCCCCCACCGAAGGGTGGTTGAGGATCTCCACCTGTTGAGCCCACATTGAGACCACACGTCCTAAATTGCCTGTTCGGGTCGAAAATCCTTCTGGTAAGTAGTAGGGAGTGCCATCAGAACCGACAGTTTTCGAGGTGAAAAAAGCATCGTCAGCAGCACCTTCCGTGGGTGGGCGCACCACCCAAATAAATTTCTGTTCACTCATTTCTAAGCCGAAAGCCAACTCTGTAATTTGCTGAGCCGACAGCATCCCACCACTTCCGAATGAAACAAATACTACTGAATCATTAGGCTGCTTGTCTAACCATTCTATTACTGCACTCTTTGAACCGTCTGGTTGGACCGGCCTCCTCAGTGGGCCAATGGGATGAACCGGGATCTTCACAATTGACCTCCAGATTTCGTTTTCCTTGAAAGCTTTCAGTGTTGTAGATTCCAAATCTTCCCACGTATTCAGCAGTATCCCATCAAACTGTGGAATCCGATTCCCCATGCTCACATACTCATAATATTGTTGATCGTTCCGGTCGAGCATGGGATCGACCACGTCCTCCGGTCGAATCGGTTTGCAACCAGGAATTTTCAACAAATCTTGTTGATCAACATACTGTCCCTCGACTTCTTTATCAAGAACCGGACAGTATATAGTGAGGGCAGCAAACCATGCTGCTGTGGGCACATACACATACTTCGCCATGTTGAACTCAGCCGCAATAGGAAGAGCTTCAGTGCCAAAATGGTCCACGATAAGGGCATCGGGGCGGTGGTTCAAGGCGGAGATGGTGGATCTGACTCCCGGCATCGCCTCGCGTAGCATCATGCACAGTTGTTCCACTACTGCGGTGTCAGGTTTTATAAGGTGTGAAATGTCAACAGGCGGTAGTTCAATTCTTTCAACAAGGTTTTTCTCGGTGGGGAGTTTGAGCAAATGGGATTCCGGCGGTGAAAAAGCAGTCGTGACTACAAGAACTGTGACTTTAACGCCGTGTTGGGTGGCTAGGCGGTTGGCCAGAAGCATGACAGGGATGAGGTGTCCCATGCCAGGGCTTGCGAGAATAGCTACGTGGAGTTTTGAGCCGTCCATGAATTCACGCACAGACAAATAGAGCGCAAAGAGAAGTTCAGGACAAGACGGTAGAGAGAAATGAAGCAGGTGTAAATTTTCTTAGAGCAGTAAGCTGTCTGACCAAATAGATTAATAAATAATTTCGAAAGAGAAACAATCAAAGGGTTGATATTTTAAATAAAAATTATATTTTATGTTTTAATATCTAGAACACGAGCCACATATTTTATTGAATAAGAAAACGGATTCTTGAACCCCTTTCACCCTCATGTCACGTCGAGGTACTGCAGAAGAAAAAACAGCAAAATCTGATCCAATTTATCGTAATCGAGTAGTTAACATGTTGGTTACATTGATGGAAAATATGAGGTTAAAAAATAAGAAAAAAATTCGAATTTGTGTATATTATCGTTTTATTAAAGAATTTGTGGTTGAATAAAAAAAAGAGAAAAATTTATTTTCGAAATAATGAGAGTCAAACGATGGCTAAAATATCACTTTAATCACATTCATCCACTTAGATTGATTTAGGATAAGTGTACTTAGCACCATCTATGTTACATTTCCTCCATTATCTACAAGGGATGATCAATTGGAATTTCACCGTCATCTAAGCTGATGCTAAGCAACTGTAAATAACATATCATAATTTTGTACCCAATAGTTGATAAAAGTTAGAAGTGACCAAACCTGTAGGGGTACACCGCTCCATGACGTAGATTTTTCTTTTAGTTGGATTCATCTTATAAAAAATGAGGAGTCAATTCACAGCCGTAATCACTGACAATTTTTTTACTAATATAGAGTTTTCGTGACCAATTCTAATACGCTACTGCGTGACTTTAAAACAGATGAAAATAATTGCGAGATTAGAATATGTAAAACGACCTTTGAAATTAATTAATTTTTAAACACAACAATTATAGGTTCAATTCATAGATGGCTTGATTGATTCCTCGTTTTCTATTCGAAGTTGATCTAACGCATCACGGCAACATTTCTGAGACCCCAATTAAGGTTGTCGTTCGTTCGCTTGCTCTTTAACGATTTAAAGTTTTCAGGAAAGATAGTTCAACATAGTATCAAAACAAAAAAAATGAAAAATACTAAGGATTTGCATATGACCACAATTTGGAGGCATCGAGATTCTAGAAGAGAAGATTTACGAATATGGTACCATGTCTGTGGACCCACCTCCAGGGTCTGTGGTGGGGCCTTCACGTTGTCAAGAAGGCTCGTTTCAATGATGGTCATTCCATTAGGTTTATGCTGCAATCGCTGTATTGGAATTTTGAGCAAGACCAAAGAATACTAGAATAGCCAGCAAAGAAGAAACAAATTTTATGAATCCACGAATGTAAAACTGGAGGCAAATCTTAGACCATACCGATTCTTGTTTAACGTGGTAAAACTAGCAAATCGACGCCAACCAATTCAGTAAGTCAAAGCGTACATTTTGCAAGATAATGTCCCAGCTATAATTATATGGTCGAAAGATGACACCGAAATTTGCAAGTGAAATTTAGTATGAGCACCTTCGAATGTTATGATATGATGACAATTGACAGTTGCCGTCATTGCTTGATGAGCTACTACATACATGGTGAGAAGTAAGTTTGCCCCACATATCCACCCATCATAGCCTTTCGTACATTTAACTGAAACGTCTTTGGATTGTCTCTCAGCACTGCAGCTGCATCGTGATTGAGAGGATCCTCGTAATTTGGCTCCTGTATATAAATACCAAAACATTGCAAGTGTTATTGCACAAGGCTTCAAAAACATCCATCCCAATGCACATATAACCAGAATATTATTCGGTAAATGAGTTTAAGTTTAACAACAATCTACTTATGGGAAAATCAAATTCATACGGTGAAAAGGTAATACAATCCATAGATAACAGTGTTAATGTTAAGGACAGGTTTCCAATCTTCACGGAGTATATTGAGGCAGACATTCCCCTCCAAGTCAATATTAGGATGATAGACCTGAATATTGCATGAAACATGAATAAGAAATAGTTGCACCAAATGCCGCACTTCCGTCATAGAAAATATTTCTTATCATTTTCCACGTTTTCAACCGATGGGAGAGAGATTGTGTGTCATTACCTTGGTTTTGCACTTGACTTTTGGGGGTTCATGCGGATAGATAGGGGAAACTTGGAATGAAAATAGAAATTCACCCCCTCTGCCACAGTACAAGATATGTCAAAATATAACCAAATACCAAGGTTAAACAAGATAATACGCCAGGTACAACTTTTCTCTACAGTCAATCTTAAATACTGCCGAGTGCCGACAACAAGAAGACCTACATATGAGCGATTACTTACAAGTAATATCCATCATCTGGTCGAATAGTGATTTCAAAGTTCATCAGGTCATCCTTGCCATTAGGGAAAGAGATAGTACATGTCTTAGGTAGATTTAGCTCACTAATGTCTGCAACGTTTCATTTTGAAGATTAGGCTCTACATTAACAGTACAAACAGTATTCAATAGCAATCAGAAAATGATTCTTGAACACCTGAAGTCCTAAACAATTAAGACGTAGCTAGACAGAAGAGGGAAACTTCCAGATAAACCATTAAGAAATTCTTTCACACTTGATTTACGCACCTAGAACTTCAAAATATGAAGCCTTAACATATATAAAGGGCATGTTTGGGAAGTGATTGTGGGCGAGTATACTTTTTATCCACACATTCTGTAGGATCCACAAATTAGAAATACTTAAATATTAGCCTCCGTTTGGCAAATTTATAAATGGTTCATAAAAAGGAATAGTAATGGATCCCATGAAATGTGAATAATAATGAGTAGTAGTTATGAACGTAAGGTAGAAATTAACGTTTTATATCCAAATGGAAGCTTAATTTTATCACTTACAGAACATGCACAGAATCAGAGTGAAATTATCATGTTGTGTTTATGTGCTTAACATGCTCAATCATTCTTGTATGTGCCTTAATTCAAAAATCTGGACCATTGAATGGTCATACTTTACAAGGGAAAACCCATGTAAATTGGGATAGAGAATAAATGATTCGAGCCAAGAGGCACTAACAAAAAAAATAAACGATGTGTTAAACCAGAAAACGTACAGATCCCATTTTGTCTGGCTTCTCACACTACTCTTGTTCCATGTTGCAAGATAAGGTCCGAGAGTCTACTGGATCCTAAGATTTACCAAAAGATAAATGTGCAATTTACCTATAATGAACACCAGAGAATAACTACAAGATGATCACAAATACTCACACTTTCTCTAATTAACTATCAGCAGGCAAACAATACTTTATGCTCCTTTAAACCAGAAGATAATAGTACCAGATGATCAAAGCATTTCCAATTGATACTTATACGGATTATACTAGACTCCACAACTCACACAATTGAAGGCCTTCCTACTAAACAGTATGTATAGATGGACAGAAGAAAGTGTTGCAGCTATTAATCACCAGATTATTCTGACATCTCTGATCCCCAAAATTGCCAGTATCCATACAAGATGCCTCCAAATTCCAGACAGATAAAGATTTTACAAATCCAGAGGTTAAAAATTCCTAATATTGTATCAGCCTCATATATTCGTACAACAACAAAGAATATTGCAGTAGTAAAGATTTCAAAATTCAATTTCCTACACTCACACCCCTTTCAAACCAACTCCAATTCTAATTCAGCTATATTGATGAAATCTAAGATATGATTTCGTTATTGAGTGACAATGTATGTAATTGTTTTTGTCCCCTAGACAGTGGCGAAGCCAGGACTCAAATTAAGTTTTTTTTTTTTTTTT